TTTTTTTTTGGCCAGGGCCAGGTTTGAACCCACCACCTCCAGTATATGGGGCTGGCGCCCTACTCCTTTGAGCCACAGGCGCTGCCCCATTTTCATAGATTTTTAAGATCTATTTTCCACGTTTTGAGATCTCTGAAAGAGGGATGCATTTTGCATTCAGTGAAACCTAGAAAATCCTCTTTAATTTGCTCAGCCCTATGACTTCATCACTATTTACACCATGTTTCATAGATGAGAAAGTGAGGCTTTGGAGTGGGAAGTAGTGTGAGCCAGAGCAGGCAGCTAGTAAGTGACCATGAGGGCTACAGGGGACATTTGTCTGTCTTCTCCCTTGCGGGAGACTTGGAACAGGAGGAGAGGTGCCCCCAGAAGTGAGAAGCCAGCAAAGGGCAGGGTTGGGGGGGATGGAGGCTCCTCTGAGGGCAAAGATGGGGAAGAGCCAGGCTGCTAACTCTTGTCCCCCTGTTTCTCCACTGCAGACGAGAGGCTCTGGCACACCCACGGTGGGGCCCCCGCTGGAGGGCCCGGAGCACCAGGCACCCCTCACCTATTTCCCGTGGCCCCAGCCCCTTTCCACGCTGCCCACCTCCACGCTGCAGTACCAGCCTCCGGCCCCAGCTCTGCCCGGGCCCCAGTTTGTCCAGCTCCCCATCTCTATTTCTGAGCCAGTCCTTCAGGACATGGAAGACCCCAGGAGAGCCTCCAGCTCCCTGACCATCGACAAGCTGCTCTTGGAGGAAGAGGATAGCGACGCCTACGCGCTCAACCACACGCTCTCTGTGGAAGGCTTTTAGGGCTGGCTTCTCCACGAGAGTCCTGTTCCCTGAAACTGGGTTTTAAAAATTAGCCTGGCATTGAGCCCCTAGTTCATATCTGTGTGAAGTAACCATTTCAATAGCAACATTTTCTGCCCCAAAGTAGAACTGCAGACTGACCTTTCTTCCTTCTCTCTTTCCCTCCCTCCTTCTTCCCTTCCTTCTTTCTTTTTTGTTTTTTTGAGACAGAGAATTACTATGTCGCCCTCTGTAGAGTGCTGTGGCATCACAGCTCACAGAAACCTCCAACTCTTACGCTTTAAGTGATTGTCTCGCCTCAGCCTCCCAAGTAGCTGGGACTACAGGTGCCCGCCACAACACTCAGCTATTTTTTGGTTGCAGTTGTCCTTGTTGTTTAGCAGGCCCGGACCAGGCTGGATCCTGCCAGCCCTGGTGTATGGGGCCGGCACCCCAACCACTGAGCTACGGTTGCCCAGCCAGCTTGCTCTTTCTTATTTCTTTTTCTAGTTCTGTTCTTTTTGGGGAGTGAATTAGAGAAATTTTAGAGATAACATTTTATACCAAATGCGGCCACGTCGGAGGCCCAGCCAGCTTTCATTTCTGTCTGTTTTGTTCCTCCAAGAAGGCTCCTTCTCTCCAGTGCCCGCTGAGCTGTCTTAGGGCCAGTCACACCCTCCGCCATTCTGAGAGGTATAGAATGGCCGGTGGGAAGACTGGCCAGCACCTCCTGAGAGTGAGCAGGGCGGCCCCAATGCCAGGGTCCCCGGGCTGTCCCTCCTTTGTTTGCTCTTCTCAGTGCTGGCCAGAGACAGCTTAGGCAGCAAAATCTCAAGGCCTGGGGCTCAGCCTGGTGATGGGTGGGGGGGAGGGGGCAGGAGCTTCAGGGTTGGTAGGGGAGGGGTGGGGACATGCTGTGTGTCTGTGGTTGGAGAGGGGATGTTGGGGGGAAGCTTGGGTTTCATGGGGAGAAGAAGTCTGATAGATGATTTAGGTCCAGATTACTTGGTAATTAAAAAGGACAGTAAACTTCAGAGAATCTTTGCTTTAACAGTTGACTTTGGTGTGCTTCTCAAGAATACTTTCAAGGCAAGCTGAGCTGATGTTAAAAAAATTGAACAGGGAGGCACCTGTGGCTCAAAGGAGTAGGGCGCCAGCCCCGTATACCGGAGGTGGCAGGTTCAAACCCAGCTCCGGCCAAAAAGAAAAAAAAAAAGGAACAAACAGGATTTTTTTCTTTTTTCTTTTTTTTTTTTTAGAGACAGAGTCTCACTTTGTCACTCTTGGTAGAGTGGTGTCACAGCTCACATTAATCTCCAGCTCTTGGGCTTAGGTGATTTTCTTTTCTTTTTTTTTTTTTTTTTTTTTTGAGACAGAGCCTCAAGCTATCCCCCTGGGTAGAGTGCCGTGGCATCACAGCTCACAGCAACCTCCAACTCCTGGGCTCAAGCGAGTCTCCTGCCTCTGCCTCCCAAGTAGCTGGGACTACAGGCGCCTGCCACAATGCCCAGCCATTTTTTGGTTGCAGCCATCATTGTTGTTTGGCGGGCCTGGGCTGGGGATTCGAACCCGCCACCTTAGGTGTATGTGGCTGGCGCCTTAGCCGATTGAACCACAGGCGCCAAGCCTAGGTGATTTTCTTGTCTCAGCCTCCTGAATAGCTGGGACTACAGGCACCCACCACAACTCCCGGCTATTTTTTGTTGCAGTTTGGTCAGGGCTGGGCTCAAACCCGCCACCCTCGGTATATAGGGCCAGTACCCTACTCACTGAGCCACAGGTGCCACCCAGCAGGATTTTTTTCTTCTGGGAAGATGCCCAGTAATGGGATTGCAGGATCAAATGGGAGGTGTAATTTGAGTTCTTTGAGGGTTCTCCATACTTACTTCCAAAAGGCTGATGTTAGTTTGCAATCCCAGTTCTCTCTGCATCAGCACCTGCAGCTTTGAGACTTTGTGATGTGGGCTATTTTCCTTGGGGTTAGGTGCTATCTCGGGGTGGCTTTGATTTGCATTTCTCTGATAATCAGGGAGCATTTTTAGAGCACTTCTTTCAAACATTTGTTGGCCATTCCTCTGTCTTCATCAGACAGGGTCCTGTTGATCACTTGCCCAGTGGTAGGTGGGATTGTTTACTCTATTTCTGCTATGAATTTGAGTTCTCTGTAGATTCTAGGTATCAACCCTTTGTTGATATCTTTTCCCATTCTGAAATTTGTCTTTTTGGTTTACTTGTTTTATCCTTAGCTGTGCAGAAGCTTTTTAGCTTAATTAAGTCCCATTTGTTAATTTTTGTTGTTGCGATGGCCGCTGAAGTCTTTGTCATAAAATTTTGCCCAACACCATCAAGAGTTTTCTCTAAGATTTTTATTGTTTTGTGTCTTAGACTTAAGTCTCTTATCTATCTTGAGTCAAGTTTTGTAAGGGGTGAAAGCTGTGAGTGGAGTTTCAGTCTTTTACATGTGGTTATCCAGTTCTCCCAGCACCGATTGTTACATACGGCTTCTTTTCCCCACTGTCTGCTTTTGTTTAGTTTATCAAAGGTCAGATGGCAACTAGAGACTGGTTTCATCACCAGGAAATTTGCACTAGACCAGTGGTTTTTGACCTTCCTAATGCCTCCTAATGCCGCGACCCTTTAATACAGTTCCTCCGATTGTGGTCACCCCAATCATAAAATTATTTTCTTTGCTACTTCATAACTGTAATTTTGCTACTGTTATGAATCATAATGTAAATATCTGACACGTGGGATATATTTTCATTGTTACAAAGGGGTTGCGACCCACAGGGGTTGAGAACCGCTGCACTAGACTGTTTCTCACAGCTCAATTTACAATTGCCAATTGCCGAAAGTTGGAAATAGCCTAAATGCCCACCAACCCAGGAATGGATTAACAGGCTGTGGTATATGTATGTTATGGAATACTATTTAGCCATTAAAAAGATAAAAAAAAGATGTAGACTTTACATCTTTTGTATTAACCTGGATTGAGGTGGAACCCATTCTTCTTAGTAAAGCATCACAAGAATGGAGAAGCAAGAATCCAATGTACTCAATTCTAATATGAAGCCAGCCCGTGAATTAATACAAAGTGGGGAGGGGAGGGAATGAGGGATCAGGGAAGGGGGATGGGGGTTATGACGGTGTGTGACACACCTCTTGGGGGCGGGATACAATTACAAGAGGGACTTTACCTAACAACATCAATCAGTGTAAACTAATTCTTTGTACCCTCAATGAATCCCAAGCAATAAAAACAAAACAAAACAAAACAAAACAGATTGAACAATGTGTTTGCCATTTCTGTTCCACCTCTAGACCCTCTGCTGGTCCTGTGTGTAGGTCAAGACCTCCTGAAGCCTCATGGTGATGGGGTTTTTGATTAGTGGCATTTCATGTGGGTTTCTTGAATATCTTTAAAAGCACCTATAAGCTACCATTCTGTGGAGCCAAGGCCTCCTGCACCTGGAGCTTCCAGACCCTCAGCCACAAGTAACACTAGGTTGATTTCACTCTTTATTTTGTTTGGTGGAGACACTTTAGATTTGTAGGGGCCTGAGTGCAGTCATCAACAGGGCTACTTAGTTCCTGATACTGCATGTGTGTCTTGGGTTCAAACTGGCACATCCTGAAAGGGCGAGAGAAGAGGATAGAGAGTCCCCGGGAGCTAAAACCCCGTGGAAGGGGTGGAAGCTACCCTTGGGAGCGATCCCTAATTAGATCCCACTTCTGACACCAGATGAAAGGGCAGCGCTCGACTGGCAGAGATTTCACAGACCACCAAGGCTTGTGAGAAAGGTCTTTATTGGTGAGGGAGGGAGGCTGCAGAGCAGCACAAGGAGGAGAGAAAAGAGAAGAGAGAGATCAAAAGAAGGCACGTCTTTATATAGGTTCAGTTAGGGGAAGTCTCAGACTGATGATGGGATGGTAGAACAGCCAATAAGGAGTTACCGCTCTGGTGGGAAGAGCTGTTAGGGGCGGGTCATAAGTTTTAATTTTTCAGCAGGTAATTGGGACAGGGAGATGAGGTAAGTTTTGCAACTGGGAGATGGGCTTTCTCGGGGAGGGGCTTTTCTGGGGCAATTACCTAACACATCCATCTGCCGGTGACACCATTGTCACCGTCAAGCAGGCACTTCAGTTTGTAGAATCCAAATGTAGATGCCATATACCTTTCCAGGAAACGATGGTTTCTTTCTTTGACACAATTTCTTTCCCCATTTTGAATGAAAACTCTGTTTTGGACTTTGTTCCTGCTTTGGGTTTATTTTGACCCAAATTTCAGTATCTGCCTAAAATCCCAGTACACATAGTTTGACTTATTTCTCTTCAGACTTAATTTTGATATTTAAATGCTTAAGACAGCCGTCGAGATGGTAATTATTCATCTTTGTTGGTAATGACAGTGAGTAGGCAAGGGGACAGGTCTCAGCCCTGTTTGATTAAAAGCTCTGGTTTCCCATAAAAAACACTATGCAAGATTTTTCAGCTTGAGAAGCAACCTCCAAAAAGGAGTTAAGTTGGCAAAACTAGCAAGGGAATAAAGTACATTACTTACTTGCTAAGATTTAAATGGAGTCTTTCATTCTTTTTATCTTGAGGTCAAACGTCTTGGTTGCAGCCGGCCATGTAGGCTTCTTCCTGGGGTTTTCTTCTAGATGGAAACATTTTCAATAAAGATCTGTAGAGCCTTTTCTGTGTTGAAGTGTTTCATTTCTTATCACACTAACCCCCCTTACCTTTCAGTCTCCTGTCACACAGGGTCATCATTCGAGGAAGAAGCTTACACTAGTCTTGTTGGTTTTGCAAATTGATCTGTTGCAGAAGAAGATAAAACCAGTCTCCACTGTTCCTGCAGACCAGTTCAACTCGCAAGCAGAACACGCACATGGCCAGTGGGCTTAGTCTCCAGGAAAGTGGGGACCTCAGGGCCCAGGAGCGTGAGACATCACAGGGAACTGTGCCCAAAGGAAGCCATCTGGTTGGGCCAGGCACCACAATAAAATGAAAATGCAGGAAGCCAGTCGACCCCCTGCATGGCCACTCCTTGCAATGAGCAACAGTTCGGAGGGGCTCTCCTTTTCCTGGTGATTTTCTGAGTTACCAAGGGCCTTTGAGTTTCCTGCCTTCGTTGTCACCCTTAATTGATTTTAAATTATGCAAATTGCTCATTTGTATGTCTTATTTC